AATTCTACATGCCAGCAGAGTAGTCGCCAAAGGACTGCTTTCACTCTGACAAAGAGAAGCGCTGTTGTTATTCTGGCCTGTTTCTTGGTTGCAAAAATAGAACCATGAGCCTGTCTCTTCTGCGGACTGTAATAATGTTAAATCGTTGTCAGTGGAGTAAATATGCATTAAAGACAATAAATAAATAAATATTTAAACTCTAGAAAGACTGCAGACTTTTAGTGATACTATAACAGGAAAAGCCAACAATGAGACGGTGTCTTTGCTTATCGAATACCTGATTAATGTTTATAAAGTGCTTTGAGAATGCAAAGCAATGTGAAAAGTTAGGATATTATTATTGTTACCACAGATCTTTAAGCAGATGAGATCTGATATTCTTAAAATCACAGTGGGAGTTGTTCATTTCCCATGTGATTTATGAGGAGAAAAAAGAAAAATAAACTCCACCTTTCTTCATGCTTGATTTGTCAGTTGCTCTTGTTATATGTAACTGATCCTCAAGAGAACCTTAATTTAGGCAACAATTTATAATGTTCAATATTATTTTGACATGTGTTAATTACTACAGATTTTGTACATCTGTCTTTCCCAGAAGAGAAGGCATTAAATGCTACTTGGATTATCATTGGTTATGTAGGAACTTAGATTTGATGTTATTCTTTTGGTAGATAACAACTTATGGAAAGTTTCCAGTTCTGGGATACACAAAGTGTGCCTTTTATTACTCGTGGAGTCTATGCCACCCTGATTTCAGGTGTTTTATAAAATAAGCTATTGGTTGAAAGAAGACCATTGTATTTCATATTAAAAAACCAGACTTTTTCCATTTTCCACATAATATTCAAAAGTAACTAAGATATCTGAGAATTTTCAAAGATGATGATAAGAAACTAGAACAGCCGGGCTCGGTGGCTCAGCCTGTAATCCCAGCGCTTTGGGAGGCTGAGGTGAGTGGATTGCCTGAGCCCACGGGTTTGAGACCTGCCTGGGCAACTTGGCGAGACCTCATCTCTACAATAAATCAAAAAATTAGCCGGGCATGGTAGCACGTGCTTATAGTTCCAGCTACTCTGAAGGCTGAGGCGGAAGGATCGCTGGAGCCCGACATGTCAAGGCTGCGGTGGCCAGGAGCATGCCACTGCACTCCAGTCTGGGCAACAGAGTGAGACTCCAACTCAAAAAAAGAAACTAGAACAGAGACAGAACTTGTTTAGGACCCTCTTTCTAAGACTGTCAAATGGACCTCCCAAAGAAAACAAATAAACCCCAAAGACCAGGAACAACAGAGTTACACTGACAATGAGGCAGATGCTTTCAGAATTGCCTTATTGTGTTCTCATGTGTACGCTTTTTTCATATCAAATTTTATGGATGATGATATCTTCTTCCACTGTGAATTTTATTTGTGATCATTAGTTGTACCAGATCTCATTCTCCCATGTTAGGTTTTGCAAATTTGAATTATGACATGAAGATTTGATTATTCTTATTCCAATCAGTAACATATTTCAAAGTATTTAATTTTAACTGTTGCCAGCTAGGTTTTTCATTATTTCAACCAAAATATTGTAAATCGAAAGAGATTTTTTTTTAAACTGATGTTTGAATAAGTTGTGATCAATTTTTGTGAGATAGAAAGACAAAGAAAACTAGAGAGGAAGAAGGGATAGGGAGAGGCCAAGATGGGGAATGGGGGAAAATAGGGGAGAAGAGAAAAAAACAATGGACAATGTCAGGTGTAAGAAAACAAGAAATGGTCCTAGAAATGGGGAAGATAGGAGTTGAGAAAGAGGGAGACCAGAGGGAAAAGGGAGTTTTAGCATAAAGAAGCCATGATGGCAAAGTCAAACCATTCACTTTTGTATACCCTTTCTCTTCCATAGCTCCCTGAGACTTGGGGATATTTTTTTCTCTTTAGTGCCTAGTATAGTGCCTGGGATAATACAAGTGCTCAATCACCATTTGATGAGTCAATAGATGTTAGTGGTTCAAGTTGTTTCTCCTTGCTGTTCCTTGAACACCTAGGCACCCTTCTCTTCTTGGAATTCATCCCCAGAGATTTGCTTTACTCACTCCTCTACCTCCTTCTCGACTTCTCAACAATATCTATCCTGAGCAGCCATTCTCTCAGCTGGCTGAAACCCCGAACTCTGCTGCCGACTCGTGTCACTAACTATCTTTAACATGTAATGTGGTTTTGCTTATATATTGTACTGTCCATCTCCCTCTGCTAGAATGTAATCTCCATAAGGGAAGAAATCTTTATTTCGATTACAGATTTATCTCAAGCACTGAGAATAATGCTGGAACATAATGAACAATCAATGAATAGCTTTTCCTTGGGTGAATTAACCTTATCAATATTATATGTCTATGTTTTCTCATACTGTCTCTTTCTTCCATGCTTTCTCTCTTCCTCTTCATAATAGTTGTCAGAGACTACAGCCCCAAACCATTTATTTCTTTCCTAACTTGTATTTAACTTTACTCTTGAATCTCAGCCGCACTGCAGCAAAATCCTGCATGCATGGCCTGCTCTTCCCCCGGAGGGTCTTTTTGTACATAATATATTGCTGCTACTGCCTGAGAAGGCCTGAACTCATATCCAAAGAACACATTCCTGGAACATCTAAGAGCTGCAAGTCAGCCTGGATCAAATTTATTGAAAAACTCTCCTACATATTGATTATTTTATCTGGGTGTTAGTTATTTTCTCTCTAGGGTAATAGTCGCACAATGACTTTTTAAGGCAACTTCATGCCATCACAAATTCCTTTGTAGAACTAATTTTCCATGCAGGGATAGAATTCAAAACTAATATTATTATTTGGCTTATACTTTTCCCGCTTTCTTGCTTTGTTTAAATGATGTGTAGGCCCAGCAGTAGTATTTGTTTGTCAAAAGGTCTATAAGTTATATTCAGATATTTTGGGGTCAGCAAAACCCAAAGTGTGGTTTACTCAAGTGCTTTTCCCCCTAATCCTTAAATCCATAGATATTTCAAAGTAAACTTAATTCATATGTTTTCCATTCGGTTGCCCTTAGGTCTCTATATGTAAGAAAGGGGGTGGCAGCGGGCAGGAAGGTACTGTTCTAGGAACTGGCTTCCTTCTTCACTGCCAGAGACAGATCATTCATTAGCCACAGACCTGGTTTCTTGGCAGAAGTCCATACCCATATCCTTTCCAGTTCCCTTTTAATTGGGGCTTCAACCTCAGCACACATCAGTGTAGATCAGTATAACTGCCAAAGAAAGTAAAGTGGAAAGGAGCTGCATTTTCTGTCATAGAACCACAGAATCCCAGGATCTTTGACTTGTGATCCTAAAGATCATCTGGTCTGTGCACTGTGTGATGCTTAAGTTGCCTGAACAATGTCCTGGCTAATTACCTTAAGCATCTCCAGTGATCCATCTTCAACAGTCAACCATGACCATTGAGTGACCTTCAGCTGTGGGAAAGACTCATGAGGAACTGAGGCTTCTGTTCTCTTGTCCAGCCCAAATCTGTCCAGTCTCTTTATCCATTCTTCAGGATTTAAACACAGTCCTCTGTGTTCCCCTCATGCTCTCTTCTGGGGGTGCTCACTCTCCCCCACGATGTCAGTCACTACTCTATGTGGGTCATTCCCAAGTCTGTGCTTCCTGGACCAACTACCTGTAGGACACTACTTTCTGCATCTGACACAAAGACCTTGAGGTAAACATGTTGAAATAATCTCATTTCATTAACTCCTCCTCTAAATCTTGTTACTCATCTTGTATTGACCTCTCAATAAAAGTTCCTACTTCTGTCACATAGACCACAGTTAGATGACAAGTCTTATCAGTTGCACCTCCAAAGTAGCTCCCAGATCTATTCCAGCCTCCTCATATCTACCACCTTTGTTTTAGTTCAAGATCGCATCGTCACTCAACTGAACTGATGTACCAGGCCCATCTCTCGTCCCCTAGCCTCCCTCCTCTTCCTTCACCAGTACTTTTTTTCCACATTGCTGCCTGGGTTACTTTTCTTTTTTCTCTAGATCATGGAGAGAGCAAGAATGTGTAATGTTTTAACCTAAATGCAAAGATTAGCTTTGGTGAAACTGTTTCCCCTTAGTGAAACCCCTTTCATTTTTATCAAATATATTAATTCATTTGACCTGGTCCAATATCTAACTATCCTGGTGCTTCTGCTATCTGCATGTGCTGGATAAGCAGGCTATGTTAGTAAACATTCCTTTTGATGCCTACCCTCTGCCATCATTACACACACTATGTGTCTCTTTTACTCCATTCTTTTTTTTTTAATGCTAGTTTAGCCCCAAAAAAGCCACTCCATTTCCATAGACTGCACTTCTAGTGGATATAGACATTTGAAAGGGGAACTGACCTTGAATTTTCTGTGAAGACAGTTTAGTGTAAATGATTTAAGCGATTAGTCAAGATAGAGTTCTCTGTTAGGCAGTCTTCTTAAATTTCTCCATTGAGTTCCACTAGAGAGAAACTTATAGCCCATTGTGGTAATTTATGAGGTTGGCCATGAACATACATAGTACAAAGCCTGCCACATAGTAGGCCCAATAAAGGTAAGTCTGATAAGATGAGACAAAATAAAATAAAATAGTATAAAGATCTCCCTATAGCTAAAGATTTCAACGTATTATCATAAAATAAGTAGCAAGTTAGTGTCAATCTCTATCTGAAGCTTCGAGGAATACTGCCCTGGTGGAAGTCTTGTATTTTTAGCAATACTGAATTTGCATTCCTGACATTAAAAAGTAATGAAATTCCTTAACAGCTTATACAAAATTTGAGATATTTATCTTTGGATGAAGAATTCAAATCTTCCTTATTTGTTTTTAAGCATTTCCCCTTCATTTTACCTACTGGAGAGAGCTTTGCTTAAACTCAGAACTTGACTGCTAATATTCACGCATATGGCAAATATGAACTAATCAGACCACAGATATTTTGCTGCATTCCACAGTGTCTCATTTATTTGTTTAATTTGTAGCTATAGCAACTAGATTCCACCACTTTAGACTTTTATACAGAACTACAGTATGATCAGCTTGGTTGAAGTTTGGCACCCAACACTATGCTCAATTGAAGACATATGCACAAACTCACTTACCGCATTTTTAACCTGTTTTTCACTCCGGGTGGGTCTATAATATTTGCATAAAAATATGAAAAGCAACCTTCTGCAAGGAGAGAAGGTCATTAAAAGATGTTGTGACCTTCTTTTCTGCAGCATTTCAAAACTTAAAGTTTTCTTGGCATACTTTTCAAACGCCCATCTGACTTTGAAGCAAGCTGCCTTTCTGCAGAAAACTCACTCCAGCAATGACTAAAGGATTGACCTGGTGCCATGCATGCTGCTCTGCACAAGGAGGGCATTTGGAAATGACCTTGAAACAGAGTTTTGCCAAGTTCATGAAATATGGGCCTTCAAGAAGTGCCATTTCACAAGTGATGTACAGAGCAGTATTTGTAGCATTGTCAGAACTCAACCCCTTAATTTGGTATTGGATTACCTTGAGTTTTTAACCTACATGAGGAATGATGCTTATTCTTGATTTTATTAGTTGCACTTTGTAACTGGTTGGAAAAATTAGGTAATGGAGAAAAATTGGCATTCCACTATTGTTTCTCTTAGGTGAATTTTTAAAAAACAGTTTCTGAAGGAAAGGGAGATACTCACAGGGTACAATTGTACATGGAGAGATGGGACTTTAAAATGAAGGGTTAGCCACAAATAAGGATGAAATTAGTGGATAAAGAAACATTGGGAGGAAGAAGTATCTCTCTTAACTTGTAAGCACCTGTTGATATGATTCTGACTCACCAGATTTAGGCTCTAGAGGGTGTCAGTTCTTTATATCTCAGTATGAACACCCATAGAGTGTTATCATTGTTTATACTTGTTGACTGATGTTGACACCAGTTGTTACTCTATGACTTTCTATTTGACTGAGTGATGTACTTACACTGCTGCATAATATTGCCTGATTGCACTTGTGATACCGGTGACGTTGGCTGACATTTCAGGGTCTGAGTAACATGAAGCTGTGTTTTAACTTTATTTGGAAGTCAGGGTTGGCATGAGATTGGAAAATCTCCTTCAGTCTCCTTTCCTGTGACCTTCCTTCTACAATAGTAGTGAGGCTGAAACAGTCTAAGTTCAAGGCAATCAAGGTGAGACAGCAGAAGAGTGTTGGAGGATAAGTCATAAATTCTCTTATTTTTATACAAAATCAGATTCTATACCTATTTTTAAAAAATAAATTTTTTAAAAAACCATTTGGCTTCTCAAGGGCTCTCTAAGGAGACTGTAAGACCTCTGACCACTCTTGTTTTTGAAATTCTGATCATCTTCACAAAGTAATCCTGGAAACACCCATCTATATGAACAGAAAAACACACTGGCAACAGCAGCTTCCTTTTTACTTTATCTGAGATTTTTCAATAAGTAATTTGATACTTCTATAAGTTTAAGCTGGATTCAGTAAAATGAAGACATTTTTTCCTTATAAGCTCAAGTCTTCCAGACTCATAATTTTGTAGTTACATAAGTAAGCCATGCAACTAAGCTAAAAGTCAAAATTATAGATTAGAGTTGTTTGCACAGCCGCTCACATTATAGTAACCTCTTAAAAACCAGTAATACATTTGCAGAAAATTTTATTTTCATGTAGTAATTTATATTGAAAATAAGTCTTGTGATTTCTTATTAGGCTTTACTTAATATTGTATATTAAATTATTTGCTTATACATTTTCCCCCAATTGCCTGCATTTGATGAGTTTGGTTGAAAAGTTCTAGCATGGGACACTCAAGTAGATTCCATTATCTTTATTTATTGATATGTCTTAAAAGTTATTTGCTTGAAATTGCAATGCTACACTTTTAGCTTTTAAATATTTTTAATGGAAGAATACAATTTCTATAATAGCCCTCATCCCTAATTTAGAGCCTTCTTATATGAAAATGACTCATTTTGAATGCATTTTCTAAAACTGTTAACTTAAAACTTCTCAACTTCTTAAATAAAGAAAGGATGTATCTTAGTTCATTCAGGCTGCTAAAACAAAATATTATAAACTGTGTGACTTATAAACAACATAAATTTATTTTTCATAGTTCTGGAGTCTGGGAAGTCCAAGATCAAATTGCCAGCATGGTTGGGTTCTGTCAAGGGCCCTCTTCTGGGTTGCAGACCGCCAGCTCCTTGCTGTGTCCTCACATGGCTGAAAGGGAGAGGGATCTCTCTGGGGCCTCTTTCATAAGAGCACTAATTCTATTCATTTAGAGCTCCACCCCAATGATCTAATCACCTCCCAAAGGCCCACCTCCTAATATCATCTTGAGGATTAGGGTTTTAACATAAGAATTTTGAAGAGATACAAACATTCAGCCCCTTGCAAGATGAGTAAAAGAAAGGAAGTACAACAAATGGACATCAATCATAAGAAGCACCATGACTCATGGCATTCAATATCATAGATCACAGAAGTCAAGAGACAGAATTAAAAAAGGGAGGCCCAGGCCAATGAGCTTTTAATGACTGAGAGACTCTTTGTACCCTTGCTGTCCCACTGACCACAGCACTCAGCATTGTCCTTACCCACCTAGTGATTTTTTTAATGTGTCTTTTCAGTAAACATTTTAGATATGAGGGAAGTAAGGGACTTATCATTATTTACTATAACCAGGCATCTCTTCACCTTTAAGCTATATTCAGAATCTCACTGTCCTATTTGTTTCTGTGTATGTGAATAAACTGTCAAACATTTTCTTCTGAAAAACTTCATTCTGCATCCTGGTGTGGCTCCTCCAGGTGAACTAGGTTATTTTTCTAAAGCCCCAGGTAAAGGCTTTCTCAACCCATATTCTAACATGACAAAACCTTGTCCTCTTTGCTTTTATGTATTATTGCAGACTATCTCTTAAATACTTTCTGTGTTACCTTAATTTATATTTATACTAGCACACATGGTTGAAAGAGATATGATCCCCACTGAAAACTCTTTTCCTTTGGAAGCCAACCCCATTTGTAGGAGAGCTTAGTGATGCTTTCCTCTTTCCATGCCACTAAAGTTGCATTAATGCTGGTCAGCTCTGATAGGCCTAGGTGTCACATTCAAAGGCTCTGACTGATTCAGTCTTGGATGGAACCCAGTATTTTTTTTTTCTAATACTTCCTCACACGGTTCTGAAGCAGGTTTGAGTATTTTTTAATTCTTTGGTCTCTCAGGCATCTCTAGGTTTCAAGAAAAGTGGTTACTGAAAGAACACAAAGAGGGACATCATCTTAGTGATGTCTAGTGCTGAGCTGAAAGGAGGTTAGGACAAAGAGACAAACCTAAGTAAATGTACACAACCGGATACATTTAGCTCTTATGGGTTACTTATGAGGTGGCCTCTCTGCCTCAGTTTCTACTGTAATAAAATACCAGCACCATTTCAAGATTCTAGAAGAAATGAATTCATGTTAACATTTATTAGAAGATTAAAAGCATAATACATGTGTCAATTAAAATTAATCCATGAAAATATTTATGGAGTTAAATGGCCTGTAACTAATTAATGACTGCAGTTAACAGGGGATATGGGTTTCCTCTGAGTCATATGAAACAAAATATAAATCTTTTATATACCTCTGTTTCCTACAGAAGAAAAAATTTTACTTGTCAGTGAGATTTTTAAAGTTTTATTTTATTTTCTTGGATCTCATTACTTTTCCATAAATCCTATAAGCAGAATTACAATGAGGTGAGTCATAGTCTTAACACTTTTTTAGAGCATCTTCTGCTAAAGCAGCTTGGAATATAGAGGATTTTCAAAACTTATGTTTGGGGAACATGGGAGTGGGAGAGAAAAGAAGGAAAGGTAGGAGGGAGGGAAGGAGGGAGGGAAGGAGGAAGGGGGAGGAGGAAGAAAAAAGAACATAAAATATTTTACTTTAGATTACATATTTTAAAAAACATAATAGCATTATAAAGGTAAAGCTTTCATGATATCTTATTGCTGTGTTTTAGACAACCCTGAAGTGCAAATGAGTTTGGGTTTCAAAAGTTCATTCATGAACCATTTATTTGGAACCGGAAACATGTTTTCTCACAAAAATGTTGTTATATAAGTGGTAATTCATTTTCAAGCCTCGCACACAAACTCGCCTCATTCTGTTTTGAAGCTGAGTTATTGTGCATTTACAATGATAAATATTAGACAATACAGTTGAAAACTTGTAGCTCTAGAAAACATAAGAGCAATAAAATCAGTTGTTGACTTGCTTAAAACTTTCAGCTAGAATGCTGGTGCTGGAGGAAAAGTAGGTTTAATTTGAGGAGTATGATGACGTTTGAGAGCATCCGTCAAAGGAGAAGCACCATTCTCCCTGGAGATGTCTGCATTCATACTTGTGTTTGAAACTGGTCACTAAAACACACACCCTTAGGCCGCCCAAGTCCTCAGTAAATTGCTTCAGGTATGATCAGTAAAATGCAGGCAAACTGGAGAAAGTTGCAAGTTATTTATGAGGGAATTATTCTTTCTGCCCATCCCTGTTATATCGACCAGGAGGAGGGAAGAGTCATATTCAAAGGACTATGTTTTTATGTGAGACATTTTCCTGGCAGGTGATCATAACTTGGGGGGGGGGCTGACTTACACATTTCTTTCATCCATATATTTATTTGGATAAATTCAAATTGTATAGTTTAATGTGTGGACAGAAACATAAAGGTCTTCTCTCCCCTCCTTCAGGCTGGCCCTTGTTTTTTGGGGATGCCTCCAGACTGCAGTAAACCCAGGACCCCTGGAAAACCTGAACATGTGTTTGATCCCTCTACCTCTCAGCAGGTAGCTCCCAGCATGCTCTCTGACATCACTGTCCTGCGAGCAGCCTCCCAAGGCTCTTGGGACATACCTGTGGCTTTTTAGACCAGACAGCAAAAACACAAGGTCCTCTCTGTCTGGTCATGCTGGAAAGAGGGAGAAGCCCCATTGTGAATAGTACTTTTGGGCAATCCCTAGGAATCGGGCCTCCCCCAGAGAATGAGGAAGAGGAGTCATAGGAAGAGATTCATCCACTCATGAAGATTGGCCTGCCAAATATTTATTTAACACTCTTGTCCCTAGGACTATTCTGGTACTGGTTATGTTCCTCTTGAGACAGAACAGCCAGTCAAGGCAGGGGGTAGGAGGGATTAAAGCGCCAAAGAAGGTCAGAGAAATGCAGAGCACTAGTGACTAGTTTAAAGAGCTGAAATGGAAGATTGAGAATGGATACAATGGTTTGAGGGACAATTCTGTTTCATGCTGAGGAACTCAGAATAATTGGATATATCTGGAAGAAGAGGCAAAGGTGGGGCATAGCTGGAGGTGTGGTTAGAGAAATAAACAGGGAGTCAGATCCTGGAGAGCCCTCCATACCAAAAACTCATTTCGGTTTTATCTTTTAGGAAACAAGAATCATGACAAAGTTTTGTGTGAGCACAGTGATTTGATTTACACACTAGAGAGATGAGGAAGAAAAGAAAGGTGGATCAATTTTATCCTAATAGCTTTGGGAAGTTTTTGAAGGGTTTTAAGCTGTGGGGAGGTAAAGGGTAAAGATGGGATGTGATGAGTGTTTTAGAAGGCTTCCTTGGCTGGGGCTGAGGGGAAGCATTGGCAAGCACAACCTGGATTTAGAAGGAAGAAAAGAAGACAGAGAGTGGCTGATGGCCACACTAAGGGAGTATGGAGGAGGACCAAGGGCAGGGGAACTGGGAAGGGGCCCTCCTAGGGTGTGAGGACATCTCAAGGCTCTCAGGGATAAGGCAGCCAGGGCAGCTCAGGAGAACACTTCCAGAAGAAGACAGGCCAGCAACGTCCTGGACATGCAGAGGTCTGACCAGACAGGGACAGTAGCTGGCCTGGGTGCTCATGAATGCCAAAGGTACCACAAGGGGAGACACCAACAGAAAAGAGGAGCCTGCCTGAAAAACAAAAAGCAATTAGAAATCTCGTCAGTGTGACTTTTTTTTTTTAATGTGAAAGATGACTGATTACTTCATCTTTCACTTGAGCCAGAAGCAAGGGCAGGTTGAGAAAGTGTCTGAGGGACACATAACTTGCCCTTCCAGCCTTCTCTTTGTGTGACCCTCCATT